GTGAGCAATATTAAAAGCCAACTCAACTTCTGCTTTTCGGAAAATAGTCGATATCTTATCCTACATTGATTAAAATAGTCGATATCTTACTTGTCCTCAAGTTATCAAAATAATCAATATTTTATTTGTCCTCCAGTGATTAGCCCGGTATAGCACTGTGATTCCCTGAAGAGAATGATCTGATATCTTGTCTTCTTGCTATGTTACTTAATGTCCTTCAATGAATAATCCATATATCACTTGTCTTCAAATGATTAAAATAATAGATATCTTACCTATCCTCCAGTGATTTAGAATAATTTATTTTTTGTAATTCAATGACTACAGAACATCTGAAATCTTACTTGTCCTCGAGTGATAAGAATAATCAATATCTAATTGTCCTTCAGTGATTATGATAACTGATATTTTACTTGTCCTCCATTGATTAGAATAAATGATATCTAACTTTTCCTCGAGTGATTAGAATATCTGATATCTAACTTGTCCTCCAGTGATTAGAATAATTGATATCTTGTCTCAAGTGATTAGAATAACTGATATCTTACTTATCCTCCAGCGCTTGTTTCTCCTCCTCCAGGAAACCCTTCTCCATCTCCATTTCTCTGACTTGTCTCTCGAGAACCTGTATCTTTCCTCGACTCTTTATTTCCTCTCGTTTACATTTCTCGCTCCATTTCTCTTTGTACTGATGGATTCTGTGTCAAAACACATAATGTTATAGTATATAAAGCTATAGGAATCTTGTTATCTGTGTTAAATATCTTGAAATTGACATTTGTACAGTGCTAAATTTTAGAGAAATAAAACAATCTTATATACACCGTTTACTAACTTTAATTTTCAATATATGGTTTTATCAAAATTTATGAGCTTTTAGTTTATGATTTAATGCATGAAAAACGAAATTTTGAATTCGCTACCTCAACACTGCAGCATCTCTTTCTTTCTGTAACTTCTCCCTGTCGCTCTGAAGATTTTTAATCACAGTCTGGTAATGTTCTGTCACAATTCCTACTTCATGTCTACTTTTAGCTTTCGTTACGTCTTTTTTCTTGTCCACTCTTAAATAAGTGATTTAACGGAATCAAAAAACAACAATTAAACACGGTTACACTAGCATGCTTTGGATGATTTTAAATTTATAATGTAGTGATTGTAAATATATGCGCTTAGCTCCAATTCAAATGTGTTTTATTCACAATATTTTTAAACTCACTCTGAACTTGACAGATACAACAAATTACATTTATACAGTATCAAAACTGTTTGTATATGGTACTTTGTTATAGGCTTGTTTTAATGTATACAACTGAAGTTGAAGAATTTTTTTTTGTCAAAAGAAGAAAATGCTACCTCAAATCAAATAAATATTGAAATGATGTTTTGTTATGTTGCAAACCTTGTTTTCATCGACAGGATTTCTTTTTCCAGCGAGTTCAGTTTCTTTTCATATTCGTCCCTCATGTGCTGCCGTAGTATCAGCTCGTGTTCGGAATCCTCCTCTAATTTCGCCTCGACGGTTTGCATTCTGAGTGGATAGAAACAAAGAATTAAACATGAGGATAAAAAAAGATAACAAAGGATTCGATGTATTGATTTCTCACTTGTCGTTATCTTAAAGAGACCTCTAAAACACCCTTAATGTTTGGATTCAGGTATTCAGAAATTGATTAAACATTTACCTAGATTTAAGGGAGTGATTCTCCTTCTTTAGAATTCTGTTTTCTTCTGTTAACTGTTTATTGTTTTCATTAACTGCAAAGAGTTCCCTTCTTGTTTGTTGTAGTGTGTTGATATGATTTTCTATCTCTTTTTCGAAAATTCGTATCCTAAAATAAAATTACTACTTAAAATAAATTCAGATTCTTGTGTATTGAAATAGCTGTTTCTCTTTTATCTCCATATATTTTATCGATAAAAGGATCTCCCTAATAGATTGTAAAAAATAAAGATTACAGTACTTGACTAGATCTTAGTTACATGTTATATCGTGACATGCCGTAAATTGCTTTATGAAGCTGTTTGAACGACTCGCCTGGATTGTAGCGTGTCTTTATCCTCCATAAGGTACCTGTGTTTTGATTCCAGTTCATGGAATTTTCTCTGATTGTCTGATAACAACATCTCGTACATTCTCTTCTCCTTCTTTATTCCAGATTGTATCTTGTTATGGATGGTTTCATCTGATAACCTGTATTTTATTATAAAATATTCGCATTAAATATAGTTATAAGAATATATGTAAGAGTCATTAACAATCTGTGATAGCCCTATTTATAGCATTCAGATTTTGAAACAAATATTGTCCCATTTTGTCACAAGGACCTACTGTATTTGAATTTACGCAATCACTATATGTATATACAAAAGTGTATATATAGTGATTACAAATATTGCCCCATGTTGTGTACAAAGAAGAAAAAATACCTCTTAGCATGGCTTGGTTTTGCAGATTGTTCTCGAAGTGATCTATTTTCATTCCTTAGCAGATCCACTTCTTTTTCCAATTCTAATATTCTCCGCCTCATTTCCACAGTCTGTTGATTCCCACTGGCTGATATTCCTCTGGATTGTTTTCTTTCTGGTGATCTATTAATGTCATTGATATTTTAATCCTTCATTAAATATTTTTTTCTTTAAGTCGATCTTCAAATTGATGTTTGTTTTATAATAATATAAATATAAAATCCTTCATTACCTGGTCTCTGTAGAGCGGGGCCGGGCGTTCCTACCACTCTTGGGTCTCTCCTTCGCTGACTGTCTATTACGAAGATTGTGACAGGGTCGATTCTGAGATTTTGTGATCTTTTTGGCATTATCTTTTCTCGCTGGCCCTCTTGATAAGAGAGTTAAAAAAGAAGAGTTTAGTGTGTATTGAAAGAAAACATCAACCCTCTTTAAACAGTTTCTCTATTTAAATAATGTCGCAAATTTAAAGTAAACTCTTTTAAATCTCATTAAGCAAACACAAAAGGCTAATAAAAATTGTTCTTACGAAGTGATCATGTAGTCTAGCATTTCGTCCATTTTTCGGGCTGTCAGACACAGTTTTGCAGCAATATCTTCTTCGTCTTCTTCTAAAGCTGCGTCCAAGTCCGAATCACTGCCGATGTTTTGGAGGAATTCAAGGTCATCTGGTGCTGATTCCAGTCCTTCTAATTGGGGTTCCTCCACACTCATATTACATTTGCTATCAAAATATCCCCGGTTAGATACTGAAGACTCCAGCGGACAATGCGAATATTTTATTCCAAGGCAATTAATGACCTGACTTTGTTAATAGGTCCACAAAATATTTGTTTAGGATCGAACAATAAATTCTCCGTCATACATAGAATTGCATTTAAATCCAAAAGCAATTGTCTTTGAGACTTAGTCTTGAGACAACGGACAACAAAAAAGAACATAGTCAAAGACAATTAAAGTTCCTCGCTCTGTTTCTGGTCTCGGTGCACCGAAGATCAACGTTTGGAAACATGCGAAAATATATTGTCTTTTTTAGGATACACGAATTTTACGTTTACTTTTTACAGTAATTCTTTCACCTTAAGAAATTGCTTTCCTTCGAATGAAAAATTGTCAGGTAAGGTTAAGGTATTTGGAATTCAAGGATAAACACACAAAGTTATTTGGTGTAAATTTCTGAATGGACTTGCAATTATTGACTTCTAGATATAAATGCGATATCAAAATTTGTTAAACTCCAGATTGGATTCAATAATTATCTTTGGTTAACACCTGGACTTTTCTGATTAATTTATCAACAGCAAAGGCAAATACTTCCGAACCAGAAACAATTGATGTTTGGGGTTATCATTTCTTCTTCTTTAAAATATTTAGCATTGGCGGTATTTTTCGATTAGCGGTTGCTAAAACTATGCAATGAAAATTGTTTGTTTAGAAAAGAGTCTATACAGTTCTTTGCATTCTATACAGTTTGAAGACTTTAATACTAAATACAAACCATATTAATTCCGTATCTTAGAAAGCAGTTATGTTACCTTTCTAATCGCTGTCTTTCTTAGTTTCCGATGATGGATTAATGTAAAAAGAAAAACTTTATTGTTTTTGTTCTTCAAATTTTCTTTATTTCATAAAAATAGAATAAAAACAATTTCAGCTTTTTCAATAGTTTGGTGAAATTTGGTGATTGAATTGTAACAGTCTGCAGTCATCGAATATTTACCGATTCTCCGTGAAATTAAAACCACCGAAAGGTCTAACAAACCGAAAAAGATGAATATTATTTGTGGAAATTAAGTTTTCACTGTTTTCAGTGTTTCCAATACTACATTCGTTAAAGAAGGGAATGTAGGATTAATTTAGAAACCTTTCCGCACTGGCGTGAATTTAGAATAGGTAACACTTTGTATTGTAAAAAAACTAAAACAAGAATATAATAACATAGGTGTAAATTATTTTGACTGAAATTATAAGAAAATCATTGTAAATACATGTAATACATTTTCAATTCTTTTGTGCATTTGCTATACTGTCATCTACAAAAATTTTAATTTACTATTAAAATTTGTACATTACAAAAATAATTGTCAAAACAAATTTTAATCGAAAAATTCAAATTTTTGTAGAGTTTTCTACAAAAAATTAGAATTTTTCAATTTAAATTTGTATATGAAAAAATAATTGTCATATACATTTTAATTGAAAAATGCAAATTGTAGAGAATATTACCATACCAAATATAAATAATGCTTTTTTCTTTACTTAACAGGTTAATGTCACAACCTGTGTAGTAAACGTTGAACTTTTTCGAGTTGTAAATATGATTAGAGATAATAGCCATTTACATTATTAATCAGCTTATCGAAAGTAAAATTATATGTATAAAAAATCATTTTTTTGGACTGATCAAACATAAATTACCTAACATCTATGCAACATCAAATTTTGGTTCAAACCATGTCATTTTAAATACCTATATGTCTCATTTAAATATCGATCAGTGATCTGTATTTCTAGTCGATTCATGTCTCCACATGTGTGCAAGAATACGGAAGTTCGAAGAAGGGACTAACCGATTTTATAAACTCAAACTGATGTAGCATGTAACTGAAAATGGCCACAGGTCAACAACGGGAATCAGAGTAATTATATAATTTATTTCTGAAATTAATTATTACTTTGAATTAATTTAAATGGATCTAAATATTTTAAGTATGACTAAAGCGAAAGTACCTTTTGTAGTATACACTCATTATTCAATGACGATACATGGTCAAAACCGTAAAAGTACAGAGTGCATCAACGAAGAGATATTTTAATTAAATTCAACAGTTAAACGGAGTACTTGTGAATTTGTCAGTAATATTTTGTAACCTTTGATTAACTTGTTTTATGTAACTGAAGTATATTTAGGCAGGAATGGATAAAATAAAGAAATCTAGATTCTTTCCGATTTAACTTAAGAGGATGGTCTTGAATGAGAAACTTAAATCACATTACATTTTTTAGATAAAAAATCTATCTTCTGAGAGAATTAATTTATTTTAGAACTTTGTCCTTTCTCTTTAAAAATTGAAATTTTGTAAGAAATTGTCAACGTTATTGATGCAACAGTTTTGTAATCATTACAAATGTATAACAAATTTGTATGCCAAAATTACACTGTGTATAGATAATTTCATTTCCATCGAGAATAAAGTACAATAACGACCCTACATTTTTTGGGTGACTAAAGACAGTATAGACTGCAAATTAAGTTAAAGGTATATCAATTTGAATGCAGGTTTGACTTTCCCTAGGTAATAAATTTGCAATCGGTATACGTTTTCAAATAAAAGAATAAAGATGCATGTGTAATAACGTGTGTGATGCCGTCCTTCCATTTGATAACTACTGTGACATCATAATTGTTCGTTGTAAATCAATATTTGTGATTTTCGTAGTTCACTTTTATCCACTCCAAAGAACGATTATTTTGTTTATGTACGTACAGAATGTATCAGCTGGTTACTGAATCTTCTGTTTGTACAAGTAACCCATGAATTTATGTCCAAACGAAGTAGTTGCCTGCAAACATTGACTTTGTAATTTCTTTGTATATGTACAACATTTGCGTTTCTTTAATGTATATACTTTCTTCCTTAGATGGGAGTATTACATAGCATACTTCATTAATATACCTGATAAGGAACATCCCAAACAACAAATATTCTCACAAAAGTAAAATCAATTATCGTATAAATTATCATTACAAGGTTGGAATCAAAAGATGCTACAAAATGGATAAAAGGTTCCCTAAATCACCTAAAACGATGTTTGAAGGAAGGAAGATCTGCATCAGATTTGATCAAGTGGCCAGAAATACCAAATGTCCATAGCAAGAGGGATCTGTTTATAAAAACAATAGAATCTATATCTGAACAATGGGATGTTTACTGGGAAAGGTAAAGAAAGAATGCATATTAAAGCTTTTGTAGATTTTGGACTGTATTGGACTCACCTGTTGATATTTTTTTTTATCTGTGGTGAATAGAGTCTCAAATTCATATTAGAAATAATATTTTTTATACATCTATAATATTATCAAGAATGAAACATATGGAGATAACGAACAGTATTCAAGATCAAACGTCCATAAAACAATACAAAATAGCGGCAGAGCAAAAACAGGCCTCTAAAACATCAGAGGAGGGATCAGGTGCCATGGAGGAGTGAGCATCCCCTGCCGACCGGTCACACCCGCCGTGTGTGCTCCTTGTCATGATTGTGAAATAACAGAAAAATCTGTCGTCAATTCAGTGTATAAATAATGGACTAACAATTAGTATGAAAAACGTCAGTAAGCATTTGACTCAATGATAAATTGTATTTGCTGACAAGTCATTGTATCGACCACAGAACTTAAGAAATTATGACTTTAAACGTGACTGCTGATACTCTTGTTCTATCAACTTGTTTATCGATAATTTACCTCGTTTTAGAGATTGTTCATACATTTGTGTATCGAATCAGCTGAGATACATAAACTCCCTATGTAGGTGATGAAGGTTTATTGCTGCATAAAAAAGGGAAGTTGACGTTAAAAAAGTTAAAGTCATCACGTTTATCAAAGAGCTTGGTTGTTAGATTACCGTTAACGTCTTTTTCAAGTAAAATATCAAATATTAAACAGATGTGTCAGATTGTGTGGTATTTTTTATCTCAAGCTCACCGGGATATATCATATCGACATAAGAATATATTGATTGATTGACTGTATATTGTTAAACGTCCCTCTCGAGAATGGAAGTTACATGTGTTAATTGACAATAGGTCGTCGATATATCTAAATGTCGAGCTGAAAGCCACATCAAGTGTTTTCTATCTTTCATGCATAAGATTTTGCACAAATTGTACTTCATATGAGTACAAAATAGGTCTGCTAATAACGGGGCGCAATTGGTAACCATGGGGATTCCAATAGATTGTTGGAAGATCTGGTCTCTAAAAACCACATAGATATTGTCAATCAGAAACTCAAGCATTTTTTTTATATCGAATTCAGAGTACTTGTTTGTACAAACAGAATGTTTTTAACAAAATAATTTTGCAAATGACCAATGGCCAGGTAAGTAAATTTACGAGTTCCATTTTTATTGCAAAAGTAGTTGTCAATGATATCGAAAAGCATGGACTTACATTTATCGTGAGGGAATGGTTATGTATAAAGTTGAAAAGTCGTAAGTTTTTAAAATGTTGATTTTGGTGAAATCCTGTGATTTCAAATTGTCTAAAGGTTCTTTGGAATTTTTAAGTATCCACATCCGATTTACACCACTTTTTGAATATATTGTTGGACAGTACCTTCACCACTGTTAATATATTAGTAAGGAGTAAAGAAAGAGGCTTGGTTTTACATTTACTGGAACCCGCTATGTATTTTTGTTTGTAAGGATTCTTATGAAGTTTCGGAATCCAATATATACGAGGGCTATTCGGAAATTATTGAGGCATTTACTTTTACTTCCTAACGGACAAAGATAAATCCATGAAATTTCGTCAACTTTTTAAAAAGAACGAATAAGACAAACACGCGTCATTTCGTCATCATCAGATTTCATTATCAAGTTTACTTTTTTATGATCTTCTTATTTTTACCGAAATTCTAAGAATCTTGCAAAAAAAAGTCAAAATAAAATTGAAAAATTATAAACATAAATTGAATTATTTTCTCTCTTGCTATGGGTCCACCGGGAGTTTGAACATTGGTGTTACATATTTTGAAATTCTGATTTTGTAACTGCTCCGGGTACACCCACCATTGACACAATAATATACCATTGAAAAGAAGAAATAAAATATTTGTTAAATATTTTTTGTTTCTATTAATTCTTAGTGCTTGTCAAACGTATATACAAATTTAAACTGGTAGACGTTCATTAGAAAAAAAATATAACAAAATGTCTCAATAATTTCCGAACGGTCATCGTATATACATGTATATAGTAGTTCAAACTCATTTTGGCTCTTTGGTATATTAAAAATATTCAAAACTGACTTATCATTTTGAAGAATTTCTTCCGTAGAAAGAGAACTATGAGTATAAGTTAGATTACCACTTGTAGATTTAAATCCAAGTTCTTCTAAACTACAATTTATATAATGAGCCTTACAAACAAAGACAATATTGTTACCTGCTTTGTCAGCAGGGGCCAGTTCGTACTGATCATGTAATCTATCTAGTTCTTTCCTCACTTCTGGATTATTGAATATAAATTCATTTTTGAATTCTCGTATTCCATACATCAGTATAAGCACACAGTGAATTAAGAAACTGTCACAAATATCATAAACATGTTTGAAAAAAAATGTTATCATCAAGAATGGGTTATGGACTCAAAACAGAATGTAAATTCAAGTTTGGCATTTTTGCAAAAAAAAATTTGATTTTTTAGCCGAGCTTTGCTGAAAGCAAAGTCCTGGCTATAGGCATCATGTTCGACTGTTTTAATATAAATAGCACAGTAAACAAAAAACCAAACAGTGTCAAAGCAGACCCTTAAAATTCCGATTTACAAAATAGTCCCGTTGCGAGACAATATTCAAACAAATATTTTTAACATCCCAATCGTTGAAGAATTTAATGATCAATATTTTTGCTTGAGAATTAAACTGACAAAGAAATTAGATATTTGCTTTTTTGGGATTGTCCTGATATAACAATTTGTGCACATACGCTGCTAAATGGTTATTGTATTCGAACTATTCTTAATAGCGCGGGCTCTTCGAAATGTTGAAATTATTGAAGAGTTTCATGTTTTATATCGCTTCCGTCGATGTTATATTAGTGGTTATATTCTGTTTTGATTTTTAGCAAATTAATAGTGTAGTGAATTGGAATTTTAAGAATTAACATGCATGAAGTCGCTTGACAATGTACATGTATCAATGTTTCTACATGTAGTTGGCGATAAAATTATTGTTTGTTTGACACTAGAAGAATGTCTATAAAATAAACATGTGCATTATTTTAACAATTCCAAGACTGAATTTTTAAATTATGAGAAAAAATTGCTTATTGAATAGAAAATATGCGAGAATTTCGTGGAAATATTATTTGCTTTATTTCAAAATCATATTTTGGGGACTGGACTGTTAATTTTAATTACTGGTATATGGGATATTGTTTTAAATCATAATCATACAAACTCTACCTGCTAAAAACCAATGGCCAAAAGGGAAAAAAAATTAAATATGTACATGTACTACTTTCAGATCAGACAATATACTCGAGCAATTAAAGCCCGGCTTTCAGTTCTTTCAATACTTTTATTTCAATTCTAGGTGTACTAAGCTGCGACGGACTGATGTCCAAAAAGCTATAATTCAAATTGAAAAACTCACGTCCAAGAGTCCCTCAGAAAATTTGAAAAGAGTTGAGTATCACACAGGGATGTTGAAAGATCCCGTTTTCGTTAAACTTCAAAATATTTGGGAAAAAATGTCAAACGATGTACCGTTTATGGACGTGTAAGTATTTCTACCAATTACAATTCGTACATATATAATAATATATAAACAGAACAACACACAATGTATACTATAAAAGTGTATACAGTATAAATATTTTACATTAAAGTAAATAGATCGGTACTAGTATTATTATGTAAGAATGAATGATATACAGGTCCTTCTTTTTATAAGAAAAACTGAAGAATTTACGAAGAAACCAGAAATTTGGTAAGTAAATCTTTACAATAGGCACAAACATATTTTGTCTTGAAAAAATTGAAAGTTAAAGCGTGGATATGCTTTACTTTTTTCTAAATGTGTATTATTATCATTATTAATACCGATTTCAATGTTATAAGCTGTCTTAACGAGTGGTTCCTTGCATATCTTCAATACTTGGAAACTGTCCTTAATCTTGAAAGCAACACATATTTCGTGGAAGACCTAACACCACAGCCACCTCAGCAAACTGATGAAAAGATCATTCAGAGTCATAGGGAAATTGTGGTATCCTGGCAGGAATTATGGTCAAGGTACTATTGAATAATTTTCTTATTAAGCATTAAATTTTCAAAATTCAGTTTCAGTTAAATTCAGATTGCTTCATTGGAATATAGCATTCGTCTGCAATATGTTTTAAAATTATGGCTTAAGTATTAAAAACAAAGTAGTGCGTTTTTATCTTCATATGATAAAAACAATTATCTGATATTCTCCAAAAGTTGAGTTGGGGAAAATCCCATTGACATCCCCTTCTCCACCCAAACTCCCTTATTGGGTACTAAAAATAACAGAAAAGTAACACAATTGCCCGTGTTACAAGTTTGTGGGAAAAGAATGTCTTGCAATGAAAAGAAAAAGCTAAATTACTAGCCTTTTTTAAATGTTTAACGTCTTTTTTTGGAGAATTTAGGTCTAACTACATGTGTAAACGATAATGTATAAACATTTTTTTTTTCTCAAATATGTGTTTAGATAATTAATATGTATTTACTGCTTTTATAATTTACTTCTCATTGTATTAAACCAATCTTATACAAACGTACATCAAAATCAACTTCTTGCCAGAAAATTCATCGTTATTAAAGACTTTGATATTTGAGTCTTTTCGTCCAGCAGTATCTGTCGATAGAGAGGTTTAGACACACTACCTCAACAAACGATGGTTTTGTCTTCCTTGTCCAATTCATTTGTTGTAGCAAGTTGACCACTGAAGATAAAGAAACAATCAAATACATTGAGGCCATTCATCAAATTAGTGGAATCCAATTAGAGAAGCATCGAAATAAGAAAAAGCTGAATACCATAGCTAAATACTTTATGTAGGTATTTGCAAGAAAGTTTTTTATATAAGAGGTTGAAGTCTATTCTCTAAGTGCAAGAATTACTTGGGAAAATATTTCTCTAAGTGCAAGAATTACTTAAGAAAATATGCATTTTACAACAAGACTGTTGTTATCAAAATAGCCCTTGAAATTTTTAACTGCATGTTTCGTCTATGGGAGACTTTTTGAATCACATATATACATTACGTATTCATGTTAATTACATGTTAGTGTCATAATTTGATTAGCATACATTGATCGACTGATATTGTTAATTTAATGGAGACATATACATGTACAAATATGGTGTTCAACATTTTATGCACTCATAAATTTGTTTTTAGATGTCAAAAAACAGAGAAGATGGATAAGAGATGTGGAAGTATTCGTACTGACTTACCAGTAGATTTGTAAGTTTGTTAGTCCTAGCTAGTAAGTAGTGTTCGTCAAATTTCTTTGAATAGGGAACATTTCTGAAAAAAAACTTTTCATCGTGACATTATTTATTCTCTCGCCTAAGTGATCCCGGTGTACAGTGTACATTTTATTCATAGACAATTCTAGTTTCAAAATATTTGTTTTTTTTCTAATTTCATTTAATATTTCTTCGACATTTAATTTTTTTTTCAGTTTAATGAGAAGACTCTACTTGGTGGTTAAATTTTTCATATATCTATCTATTAATCTTCGAGTTTATTACATCAGTAAAAAATTACTAATTCCATTGTATCAAATGACTGTACGAGAAGTTATAAATGTATGTCTTCAATATTCTATGTTTATTTCTCCCTGGCAATAATAAACATAATTCATTTTATTTATTATTAAACAGACATATGGCGTTTAAATTGAGGATCTATGAGAAGATACTAGATGTTTTGAATGACTTAGTTAACATCGACACTATTGAACCTCCTCCCGTACCAAACGGATGTGATGAAAACCTGAAGAAACAGTTATATGCGGAATTCCAAACAACGATGGTCGCACTGAAAAAGAAAGTCAACAAATCTACAGAGTCGGAAGGGTAAATTCAACCTTAGATTAAACGAGAATTCATTATTATATTTAATTTAAAATTTAACGCAAAATTATACTTTAATGAGAATTATACAGTGTAATATTTTACTATAATTACCATACAAATATTGGTATTTTTTTAATTTATGGAATATGATTGTAAAAGAAAGTATTTCTACTTAGAAATCACAAAGAAAATGGAAAATGTGAAAGCGAACTTGAAATTTCAGACCTGAGGTAAATTATATTGCTTCATCATATATTGTTCATAAGATGAGACGGAATTCATCAATGGTAAAACATTTCATTTAAAAAAAACATGGCTCTTTCTTAAAAATAAGATTATAAAAAGTTATTGCTACAAATAAATTCTACATCAATCTAAGTGTAGATTTAGAAAAGAATTTATCAAATACCTTAAACGTAACATTTTTCAGGAAAGCTTACGAAGAAGAAGGTGAAAAGTCTGAACAAATTTTAAAGAATATCTTGAAATTAGTGAATGATGATTTACCACCTGAAGAGAACAAAAAATCCCTTAATACTGCTGAAGCTTTGAAAGAGGTAGAAAAACGACTCTATATGCTGAAATCAAAAACTGATTCATTGGAGAGAGAAATATTAAGGTACATGATTTCTGCTTCTGATCCATGTATTTCCTTGAATGTCTGATTGCTTGATAACAATTATTGATTTTTTTTTACAGCTGTAAGAGCAATGCCGAAGAAAATACACTTAGATTACAAGAACAACTTGACAATGAAGTAAAGACAAGGTATTACATGTAGATAGGATTATTTCAATTTTTTAAACGGTTACACTGGTATTTCTGATTCGAAAAAATAATATTAATTATTAATGGTCTAAAGTAGCGAAAACGTACGACACTTTATATATTACAAGAACAACTTGTTAACTTTCATCTAGATACACATGTTCTCTAAAGGTATCACTGGCCAAGTAAGAATTTGGGCGTCAAGATTAATGCGCTCGGGACCACAAATACCCGTGGAGCTCAGTACATTTCATGATCTGCACACAAAAAGGCGTTCGATTTGCTTTATATTTTTCCTTATGTTGAAAGTATATGCAATTTCCTAATGTTCATTCCCAATACAACAGAATTGTAAAGTATCAGAATTCGGGAATCTATAATAATTCCACATCAACACGACAAATATGAACAATTTGTAAATAAATCAAATTACTAGTATACGGAAACGCATTTCACACACCAGATATGATAGGGATTGTCTATCGTATCTAATTATGCGTCATTAATTACTTTCACATTCATCTTGTGCATAAAATCAAATTTATTTATGAATGTATAAATAATGTAATGATAAAAATGTCTAAAATTTTGGCTAAAAGAACCCTCTTTCTTCTTTTTTAAAAATCTTTTCTTTTTTATTTATCATTCAAACATATTTGCAGAATATGTCTTTAACATTAAAGCAGAGACAGTGATGGTTTCAGGAATACAGCTTATGAGAGAACCTAACTGTTGATTGTTTAATTCCCTAAGTCATCAATATTTTACCATTTCTTGGCGACTTCAAAGGGGGGGGGGGGGGCTAAAGGCTTCTTGACCACCTCTGACAAAACAACCTCGACTGTGTTCTACATGTGTCCAAGAGACCTCTCTTTGAATGTCACAGTCGGTTAAACTCGGTCATATATTTTTATATAGATTTATTCATCAAATAAAAATCATATACATTGTAGGTAAACAAAAAGCAACCTGTTATTTTCTAACACAATGTAAGACTACAAGTAACTAGAATTCATGTTAATTTTTTAAACACATTTTTTCATTATAGATGAGTATTAGGAAAAGTTATTGCCATGAGTAATACGTATCATAGATAAAATAACTAAAAGAAAACTTTGACATATTGCCTAGAACCAATCAGATAGTGCGTTGTATTAGCATATTATAATGAGGTATAAGATAGCGATATAAAAAAACATAGAAGGTAAAGAGGTAAACTTTACCCTGTCTATCAAATAGTATAATAAAGAAAGGAAGTGGCTACGATTTTTATGAAATTTTAATGTCCGATGAGGAATTATATTTCCAAAAAGTAAGACAAGAGTTTCCAAGGCAACTGAACACTCCATTATTTCAGTTTGTTCATTCACATGTTCATAAACGTAAAAACTATAAGAAATGTGAAAACTTGACTATGTAATTCATATTTCAGAATGACTGTACCTCGATCTATATTGAGAAATTCAATGTATTATAAGCTCATGAAAAGATGTACACATTTGACTTTTATTTATACCCCCCCCCCAAAAAAAAGACCAAGAAAATCCTGTTCATTTGACTTCTCGCTCTCAATTTTCACACAAAATGCATAAAATAAAGGTAAAATAGCATATCTTGCATCGATTAAAATGCAACCAAAAAATTTACGTTGTCTTTGAATAAAAATTTCATGCTAAATTGACATAGAAAAAGGTACTCGCCTTCAATTAGCTATTTTCAAACTGTTTTCCCGTGGGTATTTATTTAATCTTATTTTATTTTCTTCTTTATAAGTTATTGTATATAGTTATTGTATATTTATTATGGTGTATCCTGAGTTATTTGGACGAAGGGCGGTGACGAGTGCGAAGCACGAGTCTCCGCCCTTCGTCCAAATCAATCAGGATACACCATAATAAATATTCAATAACTTTCTTGTATCATGGCCAATCAAACGTCATGTCACAGATTTTCAGCATGATTTTTAATTACACCAATAGAAAATGTAGTTTTTGTCAGGTGACCGCATGGATAATCTCTCCTTTCTGTCAGTATTTTTAATAAACATTTTATGTGCGTGTGTTCATGAGAAAGGACGTCGGATTGCAGCATCCCAGCACCCCCCCCCCCCCCCTGGATTTTAGACTGTGGTGCAAAGGGTTTTTTTCCTTGTCAATTGTTTTTGGAGGCCCCCTTTCTTTTAAATGTAGCTACGGACTTAAAGTGGCCGGTGTGATTCTGTGCATGAGTGCTGGGGGCACCGACCTGGAGCCTCCCCCTTTTCAAAAATTGCTGGATTCGCCCCTGGATTGTTAATGAAATTCACAAGAAAACCTTTGGATATCAAAGAAGAAAAACTCGAAGTTGAAGAAGGTAAATTCAAGTGTTATTCGAAAATAAAGAAAAAAGATACCCGTTGATCATTTGACATATTCGAGAGCTGTCGTATTCACGAAAACGCTGTGTCAGGGTCAATTACTCTTCATCTGTGGATGCAGTACAGCTTAAGCCCTATATTACAATAGATGGGATATTTTAATATATTTGTGGAATTCATGTCAAGAATTTGATTTCGCGTTGCTGTGAATTGAATATTTGAAGAGCTCCGTAAAATCATTTCGTAGTTTGGGATATATACGTACTGTAACTTATGTGAAAGACTTTTATTTCGCTTGCAGAATTTTTGCATTTGTATTTTACAAAGCCCATTCATTCTGTAATTTAGATTCAATATAGATGTAATTTAAAATGATGAAATCGCCTTGGTGTTCAATAATTAATTTACACGGCACAGTTTTTGCTGGCTCCGCCCATATACACGGCACAGTTTTTTTCTGGATACGCCCATCGGTGTATCTCCAGTTATTGTACACTTGACTTCAAAGGAAAAACACCGCAGCCATGATACAATAACGTTGGTATTCTATTATGGCAGAGATATACAATTATGACTCGCTTATACTGTACTCTCTAACTGTTAGGAATAATTTATGTTTCACGTGAAAGGTACGCCATACATTTTTCAGTAAAAATACATAACACGACATTAGTTGTTTAATTTCTTTAAAATTTTACGTTTTGTGAATAGTGCACAAATTAGAAAATTAAGTATATGGAATATTTTAATGGGAAATAAAGACAAACGAAGTGTGGTTATTTGTTTTTAGAAATTATATTGAAAAATAATAACGCCATTGTGTCCTCTTTGTTACCCCAGCAGTGTTTGTCGTGTGATTTTAAACTTATTTGACAACCGTATGAATTAGATTTAATAAAAATAAATCCACAAGATACTGATGTACAAGTAACAGTTACTGGCATAATGCGCCGTTGCTTTATTCTTTAGTTTTTATAGAAAGTTGCACGGAATACCCGATTTCGCGGATTCAATGATACCCTTATATCGAGTATTATACGCGATTTCACGGATAATACCCGATTTCGAGTATTCTCTCCGACCTGTTAAAGGGGCTGGGTGGTTGTGGCCATTCTCAGACTATTTTGATCTCTTTTAGAAGAGGACTTCCATATAAAGATATGTGGAAAAATGATTAAATTTTAAAACTAAAATTTGTGAATTTTGTCTTTGCCAAATGATAGTTGACAACTTAGAATAGTCCAATCCACACTTTACAAAAGTCGTGTCCCTTTGCGGGGTCAACCAAAAGGTCAAAGATCATTTCTCCTCTTTATGTTACCAAACATTTGGGCGGGCTATGATGAATCCACTGTGTTAAAATTGTTTTCTTTGGATGTGTGGGTAGCCCCAGCATGAGGCAATCACTATACACTTTGCAAATATTTTTTGCAGTCAAATGACAAGGCTACTGTGAGGATTCTATGGGTTTATCCTCTAAGATGGCGGCCAAGGGACATAACTTTTAAAAAGTGTGGATTCATTTATATCATATCTAAAATATTAAGTTATATCTGGTGGTTAATTTGTTGACCTCCCAGCCTCCTTATATTTATATAGTATTGTGACGTAACCTATTTTCGATAGTATCCTAATTTCGATAGGCTAATGTTTTTAACAATAAATCAGAAAACCTTTCGTAATTTTTTGGAACTCTTATCCCAAAATTACCACCAGATGTTAAAAGTGTAATAAAGCCAAAAAGATCGAAAATTATGCCATTTAGAGAGGTAAGGTTCTATTTTTCTTTTTATCTATTCAAATCACGCCCTTTTCTCATAATGCCAAAAAAATTCACTCTAAAATCCTATCTCCTAAGCCTGAAAACAACATTTGATGTTTAAATGTTATCGTCTGTTAAAAAGCTCTGTGTTATGGCTTAAAAATAGATAAGCCTCACTTTGGGCAAACTTCCGCTTAAAAAAATAAAGTATGGAGGCCTGTTACGGGTATTTTATTTTAAATTTTGACATCTTTTAATGTTTTATGTTTTGTTCCTGTTGATTTATTGTTCGTTTTTTTGTAGATATTTTCCATCAAAAGGGGAAATTACAAGAATTACTATAGGTCAAAGGCTGTGGATAATGCTTTCCAAGCAGACAATGGCTCCTGGCTTGAAATTTCAATTTTATAAAATTTCAACCAAAAAATAAAAAAAATTAATGTTATAATTAAGTATATTTTATTTGTTGTTAAGATTATAGTTGAAAACAGAACCAAAAAAATCCAATAGCAGAAAAAAATGACAAAAAACAAATAAAAGAAAACAAAAACCCACACAAAATAACGTAAATCGATGTTTTAATGACAATAACTGTGCGCCATACTTGCTATCGAAAATGGGTGACGTCATTCAAAACAACTCGGATTATGGCGGATCCAAAGAAAGTTGAAACAGTACTGAAATTCTTGATTTCAAAAACAAATAAATGTCTGAATATATTTATTTATTGTTGACTAATAATACATAAATAATTGAGGTAAGAAAAACATGGATGCCTAGATTACATTTACACTAACGAAAACCGGTAACGCCAGGATATGTCATTTAAACTTGATATTATGTCATTTCAATAATTTTCCAGAAAAGGTTACGAAGAAGAAATTGAAAAATCTGACCAAATTTTAAAGAATATGTTGAAATTTGCGGAAGTTGTTTTGCCATCTGAAGAGAACAAAACATCCTTTAATACTGCTGAAGCTTTGAAAGAGGTAGAAAAACGACTCTATTTGCTGAAATCAAAAACTGATTCATTGGAGAGAGAAATATCAAGGTACATGATTTCTGCTTCTGATCCATGTATTTCCTTGAATGTCTGATTGCTTAATTGATAACAATTATTGATTTTTTTTACAGCTGTAAGAGCAATGCCGAAGAAAATATACTTAGATTACAAGAACAACTTGACCAAGAAGTAAAGGCAAGGTATTAGATATGAATATTCAATTTTGTTTAACTGTTAAATTGGTATATCTGATTTGTTGAAAAAAAACACAATAAGGGCCTAAAGTAAGAAAGAAACGAAAACATAAGATGCTTGTGTTTCTTGGTTGTTTTTATCAAACATCCATAGATTTAAGTAAGGTTACAAGTAGTTTCAGAAATGAATTTTATTGTCATTATATATAAGTTTTATCTGATCTCTGATCTTTATCTCTGAAGCCATTATTAGACAAATATGACCATAGCCGCAGTTTTGCTAAATATCTTTAAGTCGCAAATGAACAAATTCTCCTCAGGTTTAAGACATTCAAACTTGATATTAGGTCATTTCGGTAAGTTTTAGATAATCTATATTTAGTCTGATACAAACGAGAAACATTATGCATTTTAAAAAGGACACTATAATCTTTATCAATACTGGAATATTATGACAATAAAAGATTTGTTTATAGAAAATTACTACATGAAGAAGACTCTCAAAAATCTGAAATTCTGGAAAAGGCATTGGACTCTATCCTTTTGTCTAAAGACCAATCTGCTACAGAACATTTGAAGAAGAAATACCGAGAAGATGAGCGGAAAAATGTAAAGTTATGGGTAGAAAAGATGATATCATACATAAAACGATTTGAAGTGGTCAAATTAAACGAAAAGAGGTATATTGTGATAAATTTTCTCATCTAGATACTTGTTATTATTCAAACATATAAATATTTATTCAGCTAGAATTATATTTTGGGAAAGAATATTATAGAATCAATATTTTTGTTTTATTTTTTAATGACAAAAATTTGTTTAATTTGTAGTCTTATATCTTGTTTTCTGTGTCAAAATAACATTGATTGGTGCATTTTCAAAAACATATTACAAAACTGAAGATGAAACTCGTATATATGAATAGATATGGTGTTGTTTTTAACAGTGACCTTAACTTCAAACTTCTCACAATGGAGGGGTTGCTGACTGCATTTGAAAATAATACGATGACAGTTTTAGCTGATGTCAACGCAGAACTTGAGTCATGTGATGAAAAAACAAGAAAGCGCCTTCAAAAGTGGTATCATAAAAAACAAAAACGTTTGGAGTCCATGCTTCTGGAAAAGGATCAGACTCAGCGGTTGGTATTAGTCAAACTGTTTACATTTATATTTTTTCACAGTTTTCAAGATTACTTTATATGTTTTATATACATGTAGTTTATGTAAGTAATTATCAAAACTTTTCAGAATAATTGCAAATTTAAAACACGTGCAAGCAGAGTTGGAGAAAAACAGGGATCAGCTATTAAATAGGTAATATAAACAACACTTTTCTTTGAATTGATCTAATCTATGAGGCGCTTTTTGATATTTACTGCCAAAAAGGAATGTCACCTTATCGAACAGGTGATATCACCTATTCAAATAGTGATATAATTTATTTGATTTGAATTGGTGATAACACCTATTTGGAAAAGTGATATCTCTTATTCGAATATTTTAGGTAATATCCCCTATTTTTTGAAAAGGTGATATCACCTATTCGAATAAGTGATATTACTATTCAAATTAAATAGATGATATAACTTATTCGAATAGGTGATATCACTTTAATGTTTTGAATAGGTGATATCACCTTATCGTTTTGAATGGGTGAATAGGTTGTTTTGAATAGGTGATATCACCTATTCAAATTATTTATGAAATAACAACGGCTCCAAAAGCTAAAAGGTCCCTAAATCACATTTACTTTCACTTTCGATTTATAATAAAATCATCATTCTCGGAAATAATGGATTACAGCTTTGCATAAGTTTTAAGCAGGTTAATTAACTAAACCTCAGAACGGAAATATAAATATGCTTCAGATCATCTTATAAAAAAATTTCATTGATGTTTTTATCTTTCATTTAGACTAAGTCAGGTAGCAGGTGCCAAACTCAAAGAGAACAACCCAAATATAACAGACTTGTCAGATCCAAACAGACCTTTGAAGCTTGCCGAACAGTTTAGTGAGCTCTATGATAAAGAATGGACTAATGCCTTGGAAGAGTTAGGTGAAGCTAAAATGGAGGAAACATCGGCTATTGGCTTACTTTTAGAGTCAATAACGGTAATTTTTCCTTATAAGTCTCATAATTCATTCCCTCCTAGTGATTTGTTTTTTAAATGTATAACAGTTATATTGATTTTCCACAGAAATGTTACCAGTTTTGTTTGAGGAATTCCGAGCAGAGTTTACAAGCGTTTCTTATGTGTGATGATTTGGACTGGAGGAAAGTATGTTATTCCTTTTTGTGGAAAATTCGTGGGTTTAAAAAGTAATGTCTCTTCCTTTTATAATATGATGTGGAGGACCATATTGATTTTTTTTTTCAAATAGATCCAATCTATACTTATATACAATGTATACTAGAATATGTTTGTTTGTCAAGGGATTAGATGCCGATGAACATCATCTACTATCTGAAACCAGGAAGACTTTAGCCAAAGTTCACATTCGACAAATAAAACAAGTAAGTGAGGTCAAAGGAATTTGTTTTGTCTCACTTTGAAACACGTAGAAAAAAGTCTCAAGATACGTATGCTCCAAGCATCAGGCAGTTTGGATTCCGATTTTACATTCTTTACTATGACATAGTGACTTGTTACAATATATTGGCATATGTCAGGATATGTTAAGGAAGTGCTCAATTAATTAATAAAACATGAAACCTCTAGTATCTGTATGTATTACTAGTATTTCAAGAATTATAAAATACATGGTTATAAAATTGCTATGATTGATACTGTATACTACTCATTTTCAATTTCAGAGGTTCTTAAAAGAAAATCCAAAAAAGAAATTGGAGAAAAACCTTTCCCATTTTATTAAAAAGTCTTTGGAATTATGCTGGTATATGGTCATCCAAAATCCTCCTATTCATATGGAAGTAAACTTCCAAACGGGGGCGCCTCTCGTCAAAAGTATTCTAAAGGAATACACAATAAGTGGAGATACAATTTCATTTCTGGTGTGGCCTCCTCTTTACTTACACGAGGATGGACCTCTTCTTAGCAAAGGTGTTGCTCAACCTAAACCAAAACCAAGGCATAGGAGGCTAAGACAATCTGTGGACCGCCCGTCTTCTGCCCCTAGTTAAAAAATCCGTATATACCGGTATGCAGTATCCTCTCTATATATTAGTGCCAATTAATTTTTTTTACATACTTGTTTCAATGTTGAAAATAAAATTAGCGATATCATGTGTTTTACTTAATTTGACAATACTGTGTGTAAAGAAGGCAAAAGTGTGCTTCTTGACACACACCAAACATGCTCCCCCTCTCTCTCCCTCTCTCTCTCTCTATCCCTCTCATTCAATCAGACACACTTTAGTTTACGTTACAAAGGTCCTTTGTCGTACCAAATGACAAATAATGTGGTTTAAGGTTTTTCTTGATTTATAATAAAGCTAGCTAAATGGAGTCTTTTCCTTTTTTCTAAAGTAAAACACCATTACAGGCTGCTCAATTGGCCTAAGTCAACAGATCTCCATGCAGGTGACGATAAAATTCTTCAAAGTTTTGAATTATACAGTGTATATAGATTCCAGTTTATACTTTTCTATAAAGCGATGTTCGTACACGTAGTTAACGATCAAGCTCAATTAGGATAGAACAACTTAAAGTTTCTGGCTTTAATGAGATAAAAATGTAAATGCAATCCAAAATTATTAATTTTCATTGTCTGTCTTTATAGTCTTTCATATTTACATATATATTATCAGTCTTTAATTTAACTGTCTGTTATTTGAATTTAAAAGTGTAAATTATGCCCGTTCACCAATATCAGTACTTGCCTGGGGCACCAGTTTCCTTAGGCGTGTGATTCTTAGCCTGAGGACATATAGCTAAGGTTTGTCAAGAATTATGTCTATTATATTTCCTCCAAAAACAACTAAATATCAGCTTATTAAGTAAGGAAAATTGAAAACTCTCGGTAGGTATCTCTGTATATTGAATGTTGCTGAAATGGGAAAGTTATGTCTTCGTTTGTGTGATTTTGTAATGTCTTTTATTATCATTATTATTAAAATATTTTATTCATTTTTGTTTTGCTGTTTTGTACAAACTCATGACATTTCCTGCGAAAAAATGTCGAAGTAATCTTTGAGAGTGAATTTTTTTTAAATTCACTATCAAAGTTCAAGCTTTTTTTTTATATAGAAAATTGACAGATGTTTTTCAATGAAAAATGAAATTTACTTTTATTAACTTGTCACTGATCATTTGCAAAATTACAATAAACTCACATATTTTCGTGGGTAAAATATTTGTGGTTTGAGGAAAATAATATGGATTCATAGGGATTAAATTTCGTGGATTGAAAATTGTTGAGTAGTTATATCTGTGAAAAATTGCATTTCATGGTGGACGTAAATTCGTAGGACTCTTCATACCTCTAACACCACAAAAATTAATCCTCCACGAAAATTTGCGATTTAACTGTGTCGATACTGTGATTTAACTGTGTTGACACGTTATATCCAAGTGAGTTTGAAATATAAGATACCACAGAGTATAATAACACATCTGTTTCATATTTTGATAATTTAATAGAAAAGACGTTAATCTAATGGTAATGGTAATCTAAAAACCAAGCTGTATGATAAACATATGGCGTTTTAATCGTCGAATTCCCTTACATATGCAGCAGAATACTCTTATCGCCTGCATGTGGGGGTGATGACTCTTACATGTAGTTAAAATTGAATCAATATGCATCTGTTATTCTTCGTATGAACAAAATCTCAAATGAGGTTGCTTATTGATAAACAAAATGATGAAACAAAAATTTCTAGGGTCTTGTTTGAATTCATAATTTTGTATATGTTCTGTGGTCGATACAATCTACTATAGTATCATTGCATGTCAATCAAATGCTTACTGAAATATTTCAGACTAGATTTTTCCGTTATTTTTCGATCATGGCAAGGAGCACCCGGCGAGTGTGACTGGTCGGCTGGGATGCTTAGTCCTCCATTGCACCTGATCCCACCTCTAATGGTTTAAAGGTCCGTGTTTGCTCTGTTCCTGATTTGTACTGTTTAGTGAACTTTTGAGCTTGAGTACTGTTTGCTATCTCCATATATTTCGTTAGGAATTATTATACACACAAAGCATAACATTATAAATCTTTACTTTGATTTTTACTATTTTTAGTGAAATGTTTATCACTAATATTTTCTTTATTACAAATTTTTACAAAATTTCTTTATACTGTACTATTTGCAAATTTCCAAGAAAACAGAAATTGTGTAGCTACACCCTTTTTGTTTTTCATCCATAGATTATTTTCCAGTTTAATCCTATGTAAAATATTGACCGCATGTTGTCGTCCAACGGATCCCACAAGTGGCATAATTTGAAAAAAAAAATGAATCTACAAAGGCTGAAGATGCTTCCATAAAAATATCACAAACCACAAGTTGTGGAAAGCATAATCTTTAAGATTTTTTTTCTACATTTTCTTTGTAAAGCCCCACCCTAATCTGTAAGTGTCATAATTTGAACGAACTTGAATCTTCACTACCTGAGGATGCTTCCCTGAGGATGCTTCCATTTCACTTTGTGGGTACGTCCCATTCACGAATTTACATCTCAATGAACTAACAAACTGTGGTTACAAAGTTATATTTCAGATATAAGAGAAAATACGAAATTTGTTTTGAATTACATTGACCTCAAAATCATCATATACATTGTACATTATGTACTTTACATTCATGTGTACTCACTTCTCGTCATTGGAAAATATTACATTTTATTGAAAAACTAAAGGTATGGAGTTTTAGTGCTTTTACTGCAGAAATAAAAAAGTATACTTTTGGGGTGAAGGAAGTGAGTTTCTATATTCAAGCATCTTTTGGTTTCCCTCTTTTCTTCTCTTCCACAGGTTCAGCGATTCCTTTCCTAAGTAGGTTACCGCCTTTATTTAACAGTAGAGCGGGCCACACAACATATTCAAACTTTGTCCCTGACCTCGTGTAGAACTGAAACCGTTTTGTATCAAACTCTTGTCCCTCTAATTTCTCAGGATAATAAAACACAAGGGGTGGATCCTGTATCACCATAAACCAACACACATCGAGGCATTCGTCGATGAAAAAGTCGGCGGATTTTAGCTGTTTAACACAGGATGTACTTTTGCTCAAGACTTCTTCTTTGCATATCTAGTTAATGAAGAATGTTGATTACTAAATTCCTCATGTTCTTTTTTAAGTATAAAATTGCGATGCAATTAAAGCTTAAGTTATTAATATATACTAGTATTTTGTATAATTTTCCAGGAAATCATCTTACTTTTTTGATGCTCTCTATATTTTTCTGCGATGCCAATTTTCTAAGACTGTTGATTTCATGACTTAGTGCTGGTGTGATATGCTAATTATGAAATATAATACATGTATTGTTAATTTATGCAAACAAACATAAAAATTCATTAGTGAATCAGAATCAAATTGCAAGTACAAACTGTTCTTAGGATAATTAAATGAGACCTACACCAAAAGTGTTAACCTGCTCCAAAAACATTAACCTGGTCATTCCTTTGCTGAAATTGCAGCATCTGAAACTTTGACTGGTACAATGAAACACATTAGAAGCATCTTCCATGCATGTCTAATCAATATAGGACATAGAAGTACTTAAAAAGAAAACTGCTCCAAAAAACTTAACCTTAACCCGGCACTGTGACAATCCTAACTTCGTTGAGGTGAGCTAAAAAGGGGAGATATATTTATTTTATTAGTATGAATGTAAACTATATTTTAAAAGTTGAAATGATTTTAACAGTGTTTATAATAAAGTTTACTTTTAATGCTATCACATGTTGAAGGTCTATTTCAAACTGGGATTTACACCTTAGGTGAAACTTCGGGAATCAGCTCTGTGGCTACTAAATTTCATAACTTTTATGTAACATCTATAAGGAAAAAATAAAGAAAAGTTTGGACGCACCTCTAGTAAAGTCTTTAAACCATCGATGGCTTTCTTTTCCTCTGCGGCTGTACCTTTGCTGTGGTGGATCATGAATTCCTCTAGTACATCAGTCCAACATGCATCATACAATTCTCCGAATCGTTCCGCCAATTTGATTGGTCGATTTGGGTCACTCAGATCTGTAATTTGGGCGTTACCGTCTGTCATTTTAGCTCCCGCAATTTCGCTTATTCTGGAGAAAGAAGTTTCAAAAATTTAGATATATACTAGTAAACAGAGGTCAACGTCACAGGGGTCAGACACGCTATGCTTCATAATACCAACACCTTTATACTGTCTATCATTCTCTTCGTTAAATTCATGATGTCAGTCTTTTATAAGCGTTGGCTATAAAGTCCATACCTCTAACTTTGGCACATTCTCCTTATGCACGTCTGCGAGTTCCTATCATAATTTAATGGACTCTAGCTTTTTAAAGGCATTTCAACCTTGGACCATGACATTCTCACGTTGGTGGCCCAGTAGTGGAGGCCAATAAGAACAAACTTCAAATACAATTCATCCCGACGGTGTCATAGTCAAACGTAAATAAACATTTAGATATAAAAGGAAAATATTCATTTTCTCATTTCCTTTTTTTGTTTTACATACATCTATTTGTTGGATCATCTGTCACACCGATTTTTCCTCCATCATCAACAGTTGATGTAACAACCAAATACTCAATCCTTCATCTAGAAAGTCTGCTGTGAGGGCTGCGTATTTGAAGTTTTCCATTCGTGCTCTGTCTTGCGCTGTTCCTGCAAAGGTACAGTCAGCTTGATACCCATTACAAGAAGCACATGTCTTTGGCTGCCTAGAGAGTAATACGTTTGGTTCCATGGTTGTTTCCACAAATACTGGAAAAATTTGCCTCCTGTTTACTCTTGATCAGCTCTCAGTCTTCCCAAAAGTTCAGCATCGATTTAGGTTTAACTTTTAGCTGTGGACTTCTGAGTCCTGAAGAACTGTATCACTTTCTTCCTCGCCCCTTTGGTCTTTCTCTTTTTCCTATTCACTTCCATTACATCTGCTTCGTCACTAAACACCTTGTAACGCTCCACATGAATTTGCGTTATCGTTCCTGTCTACCCCAAAATCTTTTCATAATTTTCCAGAGATGGAGTCGTAGTATTTTAAATCTCATTGGGTCTTCATTGATATTTCCCATTTCATTTGTTATATTTGCCCACTGCTAGAAGTGTGTTATGCCCGAACCTTACTTTCCATTAATATGTTCTCAATAATGTGTCTAAATAAATGTTCTCTTTTAATCCACTAATGCTGATAGTGACCATTTCCTTCCTATGCCTGCTATCAATGACGAGTTTGACATCTGTTGAATCCCAGTTAACCTCTTTTAAAGATAGCGGCAGATGCAGCTTGGATGAACTATCATACAATCCAACTACGCCCTTTAAAGGCTTCAGCTATTGTGGTGGTCAGTTGGTGAATATCAAATGGGGAATTTCACATAGCACATCTGATTTCTGTGGCACATGCATGTATGTATGCACCAGACTCTTAGCAACTACATAATGTACATTTACAAGATTTTTTTGTTTTGTTTTATGTACTAATGTACTAAAAGTGAAAGGTGCAGTAATTATCTTTGCATGTAACATATTTTAAAAACATCTATGTTTTCTAAAACTGTATATATCAGAAATGCTTGTTATCATGAATAACCATATTGTGATCAAACTATAAATACCTTCTGACCCAGTAGTTTTTTTCTTCATTCACGTGACCTAGTTTATGTCTGAGTTCTTCCATTTCTTTTCTCAATCGTTGTACTTCTTTTTTAGCCTCGCCCTTTAGTGTACCATATTTCCCAACATTTATAGAATGCTCCGATTTGGCTTCTTGTATTTCAACGTTTTTCTTCAAGATATCTTGCTTTAACCTTCATTTTGAAAGAAAACATTGTCAATTTAGAGAAGTTCTCTTATTCAAAAAACTGTTTGTTTTTTTTAAGTAGTCTATTTTGTAAATCAGTTGAGAATAATATGCCTGCATTCTCTGTCTTTTAGGATTGACAAAAGTTTAGGGAAAAACATGTTTTCATGAATCAATGATAAAGAATACTTACGTTTTACATTCCTTTTTAACGTTTTCATTTTCTGAATTTAAAGCTGCTAATTTAATTGCATAGCTAAATGGAAGTAAAAATAGAAGTTATATTACGTTTGTAATAGAAATAAAATGAGAAAACGTTTTTTAAGTTTTCAATTTATTATTTCAAGTTCCAATAAAGGCTTAACGAATTGTAAAGAAAATACTTTTTAAAAAAGAAAAGAAGCTACAGCTGTACATGTATACTATGCAAAAGGATAAATAAGAAACAAGAATGGTTCATATCGTTTGTTTCCTAATTTTTTCATAGGTGTATAAATTATAATCTGTATATTTATTATATCAAAACAGCAAAATGAGCAAGATGCAATCAATTCTTAAAAATGTTTATTCATTTTCCTTTCTTGTATGATATGCAAGCATGCAGTCTTTTTTTGGAGGCCCTCAAAAAAGCTCTCAATGTTACCTTGTGTTTTCTTCCTCAAGTTGTCCTATTTTCTTTACAAACAAGTCAGACAACACATTAATATCATACAGAATAGACTGTGGTTCTGGGGCCTTGCCTTGAAATGTCTGTAAAGCTTTCTGCATGTTTGATCTGATTTCCTGTAACCACGTGACAGGTACATGTGTAATTTTCTCAGTTTCCTTCGTCTCACTGGAAAATTAACAAACTTTTTAAATATAATTATATGATCATATCCAACACTAAATACAATTTCCTTGTTTTAGAACTTATTAAAAGTTGTTTACTGTATAGTTTCAAGGTGTCAAAATAATTTTACTACATTTAAGTTTTGAAAATATAATCTTACCTCCGAGTTCTTTTTCCTGATATACTGAGAATTACATCGTGTCCCTATGAAAAAGAATGCATATCATTCATTCAAAGCTACTTTATTTATTTAATTAGTCTAATTATATATATTTGCAAAATAAAGCATTATCGATTCACTTGATGCCCGTTTTATGGTGGTGCAATTGTTTTATTTTCTTGAATACATATCGAACACTCTCTTATTATATAGAGGTACATGCAACAGAGAACAGTCACTGCAGACTGGTGGCGATTTTTCTAGGTGTTCTTAATGCAAGTTATGATCTAACATCATTCATCAATGTGATAAAAACGCTATGTACTAGTATTTCACCCCTACCTTTACTGAAATGTTTGATTTATCTTCAGTGGTGTTTGAGATGGCACCTTCTTGCTTAGGTTCTGTAGGTTTTATTTTCTCCTCATGACCAGACATATTTGTAACTTCACTTATCATATCATCCATTTGTTACTTCCTTTCATTTATATATGCATTTAGATGTAAATAGATCTTCCTTGTAAATCCCCACAAAACGAAAGTACAATGAACGAAACGCTTACTTTGTATATGGTATGACGATTTATCTGCAAATAAACTTGACAGATTTTTTTTGGGGGGGGGGGGGGAATCATACTCTACTTATAAATTTTCGGCCCAATATTTTCAAAATGAATTATTGAAATAAAGCTGTTAAAGGGATGCAACCAAGATTAAAAAAAAACCCCAGAAATGTTTTGGCAGGCAGAGGGAGATAGAGGGGGATCCTTTTCAATAAGATAAATCTATTGATCTTCGTGTATTCTATTCTTATCACTTTGACATTTTGACAGGGGTACACGTTTTCTAGGGGGGAGAGGAGTAGTCTAAGGTCATTTTTAAATGCTTTAGTAATAGTATGTACATTTAATAATTCTGCGAATTCTGATCCATTAACCTGCCTCAAATTCTCATACCTTGCATAGATAAGTTTCACAATCCAATATAAACTAGAGGTACTGTGAGCAATGAGCTCACTAAATGACACCCAGCCTCATATGTATAAAATGGGTGTCCATGTTTTGCTGTGGGAAACCCAAAATATGTGTCGGATCAAAAAGTAAAATATGAGGTGCATAATGGCAATATGTAATAAAGATTCTGTGAAAGTTTCATCAAATTTCATTCAGTGGTTTGAGAGGAGTAGCGTATCAGACAGACGGACGGACAGACATACCGATTATTATATACCCTCCCGCTTTTTTGAAGCGGGGGTATAACTAGAGGTACTGTGAGCGGTGAGCTCAATAAATGACACCCCCCCCCCCGCCTCTCATATGAATATAATAAATTGGGAGTGTCCATGCTTTGTTGTGGGAAACCCAAAATATGTGTCAGATCAAAAAGTAAAATAGGAGGTGCACAATGGCAATATTGCCAATGTCATAAAGATTCTGTGAAAGTTTCATCAAATTTCATTCAGTGGTATGAGAGGAGTTGCGGATAAGAGATGGGTACCCCACAGCGTAACAAACGGACGGATGTACAGACGGACGGACATACCGATTACTTTATACCATCCCGCTTTTCAAGCGGGGGTATAAACAGAGATGCACAATGGTGCCAATTACAATGTCTCATTAGATTTAATTCAGTGATATATGCTATGAGGATAAGATATGGTTTTCCCCGGTCTCCAGGTTTATTTTGGAAAAGGAAACCGCAAGATGGCACTAAAGAATGAAGGATATGGAGATAACGAACAGTATTCAATATAATTCCATAAAACAATACAAAATAGGAGCAGAGCAAACACGGACCTCCAAAACATCAGAGGTGGGATCATGTGCCATGTAGGAGTGAGCATCGCCTGCCAACCAGTCACACCCGCCGTGTGCTCCTTGCCATGATCAGGAAATAACGGAAAAATACGTCGTCAATTCAGGGTATACATAATGGACTAACAATTAGTATGAAAAACGTCAGTCAGCATTTGACTCAATGATAAATTGCATTTGCTGACAAGGTCATTGATATTCTTGTTTCATCAACTTGTTTGTCAATAATTTACCTCGTTTTAGAAATTGTTCTTAGTAGAGCATGCTCTTGCGTATTGAATCAATCGAGATATAAATATAAACTCCATAAGCAGGTGATGAAATAAATGTTCTTGGATAATCAGTTTTATTTAGAGGTACATGTATGGGTGCCTCAAAATTTTACAGATCTAGAGAGAGATTCCAATCACAATAGAATTATACATGCACCTCCTGCTTTCCTAGCAGATTGTAATATATCAAAAAATATATACTGTATAAATGGAAATTATAGCGAGATGCATTTAGCGATTTCTCTTAAAAAAGGTATTTTATTATTACAGAGAAGCACAGTCTGCTTGACGACTATTGGCCGTTCCTTGCCCTTTTTCCACTTTGACAGCTCTTCCCGTTTTTTTTTTTTTTTCTGAAGATAAAAACTTCATAATTTTAGTGATTTTTTAAATGCTCACTAAAGAAGCTATTACAAATAAAACGCATTTTTTGGGATATTCAAGTATATCAAGCAATGCATTCGTTTAGATTTGTTGCAAGTGTCCAAGTCAAACACCTACCATACACCCAGTATGGTTTGAAACAAGTCCATTAACCATAAAACACAACTAAATAACATGTTTGTTTTTTTTAACTTTATTTTTGTGCAGTTCATTTAATTATTCAGCAACCACTGTAGTCTTCTCTGAAACATAAATACCGTCCAGGAATTTTCTGATATCCTTGTTCTTTACAGTTGTTGACTGTTGAATCAAGGCAGCTGAAAAAAGTAATATGAACATCACATGAGCCTAATGTACAATGCATTGCAATTTATTAGTGATACATTTATCATTAACTTTACATGAATTTTACATTACAAGAAGATCTTTGTTTATAAAAATGATGACATAAACCCTATATGAGACTTCTGTTTCTTCATTGCTACTTTTTGATAACTGATTATAAATTCAGATTCATTTTTTTCTTCTTGAAAATGTTTATATTACACATTCAGAAAAACACTTCATATCAATTCAAACCACCAGTTGCACCAATAAAATCTGGGATAGAGTAAAACATAGTCCTCTAACAATATCAGAGGTGGCAGCAGGTGCCATTGAGGAGTAAGCATTCTCTGTGATCCGGCAAGCAAGAAAAATTCATGAATTCAGTTTGTAAATAATGAGTTGAAAATTTGCACGAAAACTGTCAGGCAGCATTCAACATAATAAAACTGTATTTGCTAAAAAGGTCTGACTCATTGCATCATTAATAGAATTTGTAAAATGCTGACTTAAAATGAGACCAATTCTATATCATTTCCATTTCCATAGAAGTATGAAAAAACTTCACTTGAATCCACACAACATGGAGAGCCTCAACATCAATGTGATCAACATGGCCTTGCTGTTCTAGAAAAGATATTTCCACTTCAAAGGTAAAAGTTTAATGTTTTTATCATCCCCCTTCCCTCTCCAGTTTGGCCATGACTTTAAAATATTGATCTGCATTATCTTTAAGATGAAGACAATTTAATACATAACTGTATGACATCAAGGTTATGCTGCTAGTGCCTGCTACTCCTGAGAAGTATACCATTTTTCTCTGAAAAATATTCCCCCTGTAAAATCATAACGCCTACTGTGTACCCACGCTAGCTGCAAGGGCTGTGATTTGAACATTCTACACCCGGAAACTTTTAGCGAGACACAAACTTAAAGATTGTTATTTATTTCTAGCGATTTAAAAATGCTTATTAAGGAAGCTCTAAACACTAACAGAAACTTCTTTTTGTACTTGGAGAAAAATATATCGTATAAAGGTATGCATATTGAGACTTATTCATTCACTTACAACATAGGGTACCTGCCTTATTTCCACAGGAAAAATGTGCAAAGACAATGGACTCTTTGTGAGCAGAATTCACTGCTGTTTACTTATATTGGGAAACTTTATGAAAATAATGAATTCAATTATTTCTTCTTGGTCTGATATAATGCTTACAAGAGGCCCAGGGGCCACATCGCTCACCTGAGCACATCGGCTAGGAGAAAGCACATGAGGATGATTTCATCTTTCCCGGAAGCTCTATATATTCCCATAAAACACATAAACAAACTTGAATCTACATTAATTTAGGATAATTCCAAATAAGCTTCATCTTCCTGGCCTTGTGGTTCTTGAGAAAAAGATTTTTAAAAATTTTTCCTATATACTCCTATGTAAACTTTGATTGGCCATTTTGGCCCCACCCTAACCCTGGGGGTCATGATTTGAACAAAACTGAATCTACACTACCTGAGGATGATTCCACACAAGTTTCATCTATCCTGGCTCAGTGGTTCTTGAGAAGAAGTTTTTTTTAAAAATTTTCCTATATACTCCTATGTAAAACTTTGATCAGCCATTTTGGCCCCTCCCTGACCCTGGGGGTCATGATTTGAACAAACCTGAATCTACATTAATTTAGGATAATTCCACATAAGCTTCATCTTTCCTGGCCCAGTGGTTCTTGAGAAAAAGATTTTTAAAGACTTTTCCTATATACTCCTATGTAAATTTTGATTGGCCATTTTGGCCCCACCCTAACCCTGGGGGTCATGATTTGAACAAACTTGAATCTACACTACCTGAGGAAACATAACTGTGCAAAGACATATACTACTATGTAAAACTTTGACTCTGTGAGCAGAATTCATCTGCTGTTTACTTATATTCCTATGTAAAACTTTGATCGGCCATTTTGGCCCCATCCTACCCCCAGGGGTCATGATTTGAACAAACTTGAATCTACACTACATGAGGATGATTCCATATGAGTTTCAGCTTTCCTGGCCCAGTAATTCTTGAGAAGAAGATTTTTAAAGATTTTTCCCATGGCTCTCGATTCTCTAAATCTGGGGCCGATATACGGCCCCGTTCCCAATGCAAAAAAGGTACTTTTTTTCCCAAAAGAAAGGTGTAAAGTTCCCAATTTCCATAGCAAAATATTAAATATATGAATCTTACAAAAAATGAAACCAAACAAAACACACTTGCAAATGTAAACTTAACTGTTAATAACATTTTTTAAAAATGTGTACTAATTATGAGTGCAGAGTATCTTGTCATGTAGGGCATTTTGGTTTCAAAAATAGACATTTCATTTAAACATTAGTAAGCTGCACCTAGAAACATACCCATGCTTCGGGATGTTCAGACTCGCGCTGTATTGTAAGCAAAGTTGTCCATGTGATTGAGGAAATTCGGGAATATGTGACTAGCGACTGTCACTCAGAAAGACATATAACCACAATATCAACACTCAAAGATAGTAATGAAAAAGCTAAATAAATGTACTTTCATAAATAGCCTACATTCCCATGTTTGCCCTGTTTAACTGTTTATTGAAAACAAGAGTTAACATGATGACAAAATGCTAGGAAAGCAAAATTTGAGGATTTTTTAAATGAATTTTGGTTATCCAACTTTTCCCAAAATGACGATAATTTTCCCAATTTGAATGGCCCCGGCCCCAGTACCAAAAAGTGGTGTGAGAGCCCTGTTTCCTATATACTCCTATGTAAAACTTTGATCGGCCATTTTGGCCCCACCCTCAATTTTAATCTTTCCTCGCCCAGTGGTTCTTGAGAAGAAGATTTTTCAAAAATTTTCCAAATTCTCTTATGTAAAATTTTGATCAGCCATTTTGGCCCCACGCTAACCCCGGGGGTCATGATTTGAACAAATTTGAATCTACACTATCTGAGGATGATTCCAAATGAGTTACATCTTTCTTGGCCCAGTGGTTCTTGAGAAGAAGAGTTTTAGAAAATGCCATTAATTTTTCTCTAATTCATAATTATCTCCCCTTGGCAAAGGGCATGGTCCTCTTTGGTTGAAATTGGCCCAGTGGTTCTAAAATTAAAAAGTTTATTTTAATCAGAAAAGCTCACTTGAGCCTTCGGCTCAGGTGAGCTATGTAAATAACATTTTTTTTAAATCTTACTTCTAAGGGCAGATCACTCTAACTGCATAAAATTACCCTATAAGTAGAGCTAGTGTGCAGTGTTTAGAGCTTCCTTAAAGAAGCTATTACAGATAAAATGCAATCAACTTTCAGCGATATTCAATTTTAGTGATCTCAGCACCCTCGCTAATAATGCCAAAATTAAATCCTCTCTAATAATTCTGCATCTAAATATATTACTTATATCAAGATAAGTTAACTACTTAATCTGACCCAGTGGTTCTTGAGAACAAGATTTTCAAATGCCCCCACCCTGTTGCTTTTTCGGTTTCCGAATTTTAATCTGAATACAAACCTGAATTAGAAACAGCCTCTATATCATTGCCTTCCAGGATGAACTCATCTTTTTGAGTGGAAGCCTTGATAGACACTCCAGTCAACATGTCCACCCTTCGCACAAATTTCTCTCCCAAGAAATTCCTGATCTCTACTGCATGACCACCTTCTTGAACTGCACAGTTGATGGGGAAATGGGCATACACTGACCTCATTTTGTATAGAAAGCCCTGCAGTGACAAGGGATAGTAACTTCATTTTTGACCAACAAACAAAAAATTTCTTTCCAAAAATGTTGTTTTGCAGAAAATTTAATAACAATATGTGCATTTTAATTTTTCATAACAACTGCATTTTAGTTTATTCCTTCCTTGCGTTCTTTTTAATAAATGAAATTAATAAGTAATATTGTATGTTATAGAGAATCAGGACTATAGTGTAATAATGCACCTTTGTGACCCCCTTGATCATGTTTTCAATGTGACTGCACACAGTCCTGACTGCTGCCAACTCCTTGTGTTTGCCAAACCATTTCTCTACCATGACGGTGTTCTTGCTAACCATGGAGATGTCCACAGCCAGGTGACGGAAGGTCTTAGTTAAGGTTCCTCGTGGTCCTTTAATGATCACTTTCCTGGCCCTCACACTGCATGTCACTGTAAAAAATATCAATTTAATATTTAGTAATTTACATTTAAATCTCAAAACTGATACTCATATTACAGTGATTTTTCTACACTCAATTTAGGTCTGAATATCGGCCCTTTCCCCTCTCAAAAATTACCGATTTTCCCCCAATTTTCAACTGCTTATTTCCCAAAATCAAAATGTATTGTTTTGGTTATATTAAATTTTTTATGTACGACTTATCTAAAATGGAACGCTATGTTTTTGGTCACTCGGACGTTTAAACTTATGGCGAAAAACAGCAGTTTATTTGTGTGTTTGCAAGACTTGGAAAAACACATCAATCATGTGGATGTCAATCTTGTGTGTCAATATATCGTAAGAAATTTAATATGCATGTGAATTGGTTAAACATAGCTTCATTTGTAAATTGCAAGTACTTAGTTCTACAACAAGCTTCATTGATTTCACAAAAATTAAACTGTTTCTTCATCCTGCAGATACTAGCATTGCACAGAAATACATGCTTGTAAATCGTGTCAAGATTATTCCAGCTCCAATGCGAGCAATAACGAGAAAGCGGGAATGATTTTTTTCTAATTATGTCTACCATTATGGCAAAAAATGGAATATAGGACAATCAAAGAACAAAAATGAAAGAAATTAAAAATGTAGAACTTTATTCATTTTGTTGAAAAATTTTATAGCAAATAAATTTAATAAAATGATATTACATTTACTTGTATATTTTATTTTACTTGTCAATATGAAGGTTAATAACAAATATTGTTTTTCCCAATTTAACACAAATTTCAACAATTTTTCCCAATTGAAAAGGCCCAGGCCCCATTTAAAAATTGTAGAAAAATCACTGTATTATTCAAGCATTATAGTCCAGGAAAAAAACAATAGTAACATTTACTATAAAGAATTTTACATTCTCATGTTGAAAAAACATTTAGGGGGGAAATGTGTCATACATACCTCCCTTAGGGATCTTCACACTCTGACTGGTGTGCAATTCCTTCATGTCTACAAAAAGTAAATGCACATGAAATTAATCTTTCGAATATCAAAAACAATTGGATATAAATCTGATCATTCTGTAATTTCTACCTTGGGCAAAATATGTAAATGTCAGTTTGTTATATTTTTCCCCTCTAATTTCATTTTAAACTTAATATTATGGAACATCAACCAGCGTTTTTTTTTTCTTTATATAACTGGTACCGATAAACGGCACCATTCCCAATGCCAAAAACGTTAAATTTTCCCAATTTTGTGACCAAAAATTTCCAATTAAACTGTAAAGCAACAGACTATGATGACATCATATTTCTTTTTAAATGAAACAATGTACAAGTTGATTAATTGTTTCACTTCTGCTTAAATCAAAAGTAGAGAATGTCGTAATTTGGCGGGACCTGTGGTGTAAACAGTGTAGTGTCATACATTTCATACATGTGATTCTTCCGGCGGGAGGCAAAATCTCCCGATTTTTAACCCCCCTTCCGCCCCTCCCGATTTGTTTTTAAATCTTCCGTGTTTAAAATAACTCTTCAAATTAAATATATTTTGCATAACTGTTTATCATGTTTCTTATAATATGCTTAGAATGACAATACATTGAGATAACAACGGCAGAGCAATAAATTTTCACAGCAGTAGGCTTCGTAGAAATCGACATGAGGTCGTATAATTCGGTTGTAAAAATTAGTGCTAATCAACTTGATAAATGACCATCGATGTTTTATTGCTGAACTGCTGAATGCAGAACATCGTAATTAGTTGCTAAAATACTCAATTGCCATCTTCTAATGGTGCGGTGGTCATTACAAGATACAGTTATGATATGGGTCACACTTTTGACTTCAGTTAAAAATAGATCAAACTACAGGGTGTTGCTAAAAAATATACCTGACTCTATTTTCACTTTGTTGTATTTTTAGAGAAATTAATTTCTTTAAATCTCTTTAATATTCTATTTGAAAAAAATTACTGACATAAAATATGTTACATAAAACCTGTTTTACTTCACTTACTGCAAAAAATATACTTCACTCTACTTTAAAAAATGTTTTTTTAATTTTTTAGAGAAGTTAATTTTATCTTTTCATATTCTATTTAAAAACAAATTAATGACATAAAATATAAGATCTATGCATGTTTTACTTCACTTACTGGTTGATCAATGTTTTAATACCAAACAAAAAATAAATTTCATTCAATGTTTTAATGATGATGTTACCTCTTAACTAATTTCAATGAATTAATTTAATTTTTGATTTAATTTCGCTTCTGATCACTTAACTAAAAATTAAAACATATTTATTTTTAAGCTAACCTTTATTTAAGGAGTTGGATGGTCTTTCGCGATTTGAAAAAATGTCGATAAAAAATCTCCAGCTTTGAGACCCAAACTCCAGCTGAAAAATTTCAAATCTCCAGTTGTGATTGTTCAGTTCTGTCACATGTATGTACATTTTGACAAATTGAAAGCATGAAAATGTGGAAAACATGGGACATTGATAAAAAAGCAATTAGTACTTGTTGCTTATTCTTTAAAACACGTAGTAATAGGTAATTTAGTTTGAATAAGTGGAAAATATGTTTTATTTGATTAAATGAAAGAAAATTCTCATTGTTCTTCTTTGATGTTATTTTTCCCAATTGAACCGGTATTGGACCCTTTCCCAATGGGTGGAAAAAAAATCGCTGTGTCAACTAAATCCAGAAGCCTATGTACTAAACAAAATTATTTCTAGTCTACAGTGTCACTTATAGAGTATAAAATGGTGTTCAGTGATGCTAGCATAAGTTATTTAGCTTTGAAAAACATAAGATCCAAGAACTTGTCCTTAATCTATAAATCTAAGATCTTGCAAACAGTTAACTGGTACTTATAAATTTATCAAGTGGACTGTGCAGAGGAAAATGGAATGACTTCATTCATAAATGGGATTGTTTTTCACACCTAAAGTATAGTTTGAATATGCTACCGATAGGTTGCTAGACCCTAATGCTTATTATCATAAATGTAGACCTACAGCAATTCAGGTCTCTGTTATTATCTGTGTTATAAGTGGACCCAGCCTTTATCAACAATTATGGAAAAATTTTGAATATATTCTTCATATAGAACTAGACAGACAAAGGCTACGATTCATTGTCTGTCCCTGTTTTAAAAATAAATATCACACTAATGATGTAAATAATTTTGAAAGGGTCTATGAGCAAACTATGATGATAACCTAATTCGAAACCGATTTACTTAGAGATCACTACAGAAAAACGTTCAAATTTACCATGATACAGTTAAAACATGTTTAATGTTAAGGATAACATCACAAATGATGACGTAAATTTATTGATGCTGTAGATTTTCGTCGATTGAAACGGCGAAACCGTATCATGTCGTACCTATTTGGTTATGGTAACCGGAAAAGGACTTCTAACAAGTAGATCGATCCCGATAATAAATACTAAAGATAAGAAATCGTTATCTGTGTACTGAGTCTGAATCATTATATAATCATACTGTTTTAAAACTTTATTTATCTATCGAATAAATTTATGAGGAGACAGTCTTCCAAGTTGTATACTATTCTGACATTTTTATTCTAGTTACATGGTAAAAATACATCGGGCTCGATTTTTAAATTATACATACTTCCGGTAACAACACGTCAGCTGCAAAGAACGATACAAAACATCAAAATTAGGTATTAAAGCCGGTATTTTTCTTTTGTATGTGTAAAACAATTCCAGATGTGTCAAGTATATATTGATAATGATTCTTAATATTGAAAATGGATACCTCTTCACTTTGTAAGGATAAAAGACAGTTAAATCAAAAAGTCATACCTTGGCCAGTTTTGTTCGAAAATCCTCTGTCAAGTAATATGTTGAAGATGTGACCGTTAGGGCTAGCGGATATACTTATTTTGTTTAAATTATATAATTTTTCAACAATTTGTTGTAATGTATTTCTTTTGAAGACCACTCTGGGTTTTTTTATACATCATATATTGTGATCTAACAACAATGCTCTATCAAGATCATCTTAATCATAGAGCACGCCAGGATGATGATGGAACCTTGAATAACACTGAATAAGGAAAAATAATATGTTTTACGGTGTGACCATTTGGGCAAGCGCAGTCAGCCAGTCTTATACACAGCTTACATCTTTTTGATCCACCTCTTCTTGACAAACATCCCTAGCACTTGCACCCTAATCTAGTCTCTAACTCTTAAACCAACCTTAAACCCAAACACTGGCCACCTAACTCTAACTCTAACCCTCACAACACGAGACAAAGTCTTGACTGTGACTCTGTTTTGTCACATGACATCAGAATTAATAGAGACAGCCAAGCGCCTGGTTGAACGAGACTACAGATGTTGTGTAATATTTATCGAAATATGATGTCAACTAAAAATTATGAAAATATTTTTTGTTTCTTTTAAGCTCTCTGCAAATAAAGAAATTAAAAGTGAACATATCTTGGTATGAACAATTATTCTGTCTTTTGTACATTTTGTAATAATTTCCCATGGAACACTGGTAACGAAGGATAGGGGTGAAACGATACGCCTCCTTCACGTCTTTTGTATTTTCGATACGATTTTTGATAGAAGGAAACAGATTCAATGTTGTTTTATGCTACCTTTTACTTAATCTAGTAAAATAATTTATGTGCAAAATGGATAGAATGTATCAATTTAATTGATTTGACTGTTAAAAATTATTTTACAAACTTCAAGTCCACACAAACTTACGTTTCTGATTTCCTTATGCCAAACCCGACTGAATGACGATCCCGACCGTAAAATGAACCGAACCGAAAGCAGAGATTTTGTACCGTGTATCGAACCGAGAAAAAATACCGCGGTGAACCGTTTCACTCCTAACGAAGGAATTCTGGGAAAATTTGCCTGACTTATGTACAGATTTCATTCCTGATTTCCTTTGTTCTTACATGTTATTTTATCGAGCTTGCTTTTTGAACAGAGACTCTCACTGTGCTCACTATAAACAAAATAGCCAGTTTTATTTCGTACGTCTATTTTTAAATCCAAAATAAAATTCACTCAGCACAATTTTAAATGAACCTTTTTGACTCCAATAAACTTTACAAAGCATTACAAACCACACACATTGTAATACTGTAACAGGAAATGAGGTGGATTTTCCGAGTTTTATTAAGTCCAACACAAAACGCTGCATTCAGTAATGTAGAAAATCGCTGTACATGTTCGTCAAAAGTGATTTTGATTTTTTTGGGTATTAACGTTGAACATTTAAATTGTCCATTTGGTATTTAACCAGTGTTAGGATTTACTGACATAAGGAATTTTCCATCATAATTTTGGTTTCCACTAAGAATTGCCATAGCATAAATTAAAAATCACAACTGTCATCCTTGATTAGTTGAGCTAGTTATTAAGTTCAAGAAATACATTGCTATACTTTGCTATACATTCCTATACACTCTGCTATGCTCTTTTTTTTCATTGATCAAATAAAATTTTATGAAATTTTGAAAGATCATGCCTTACTCAGTGCATGAGCATACAGTTGAATTACATGCTATTAATGTGAATCGATCATGGGTAACTCACTGCCTGAAAACAATGATACAAAACATATAGTACCTTTTACTGCTTTTTTACCAAAAACAAGATAAACAACATATGGGTTGAAGTCTTTTAGATAATTGAGTTCGCCAAACTGGAATTCTTTACCAGAATCTTTTAGAAATATTACTACTTTTAACCAGTTCAAATCAAATATAAGAAGTTGGTATGGAAATTGGTGTAATTCACAGTAATTGCTGTGCTTGTCGCTAATTTTATTTATAGAAACTACTTAACTAGTAAACAGGGTTTAATTTATTCTCAGTTTATTGGTCTTAATGTGATGAATACTATGTCATTGTAAAGCATCACGGAGTAATAGTGATATTTTAGTAGTGTGATGTAAATTTTAAAAGCTGTTTCTGGTTTATTATGTATGATTGTTGTATTTTATGTAATATTATTATTATTATGTAGTATGAAAATAGCTCTTCAGAGCTAATGTTCTTTGTTTGATATACCCGACTTTAAATAAATATTATCTAATCTTATATTAATAATGAGTATATGTTCAGATATCAGTCAAGGGGGCTAATTGTTCTCCAAGTCTGATATCTGAAGATCCACTCACTAAAAGGTACTCTATATATAACTTAAACAGAACTGTGACTGTGGCAAATTGAAAAGAGAGCAAAATTGTTAACAAGTGCAAAAGGGCAAAAATAACAAAGAGCAAAAATAACCCTGCAATGTATACAATACTTGTACACTTAAGGTTTCTTTTTTGCAGAATGTCTGGAGAGTTTGCAGGCAATGATGGGTTTTACAGTGGGGGGTACAGTTATGAACAGAACACGAATTATGACATGGGAGGTGGACAGTATGGACAGGAGACGTAAGTAAAAATTTTAGTTTATTTAAAGAGGGGACATCCATGTATCATTTAATTATTTAAATTGTTTTGATATGATCATATCAATACATTTTATGTCCAAGATATATCTCTCTTTGAAGTATTATATCACTGTTAAATTTGTTTGCTATTTTACATGTTTTGACATCAAGTTCATATGACAGTTTGATAAGTCTAGTAAACCCTCTTTAATTTTTTCTTTCATCTTATGCAAAAATCTGTAAGTTGATTGTTCGTTTGTCTTGCGTTAACATTTGAATATTTTAGCTTCTTCTCTGAAACCACTGAACCAATTTCAACCAAATTTGGCATATAGCATCTATGGGTGAAGGGGAACAAAAATTATGAATTTCATGGTCCCTGCCCCCATGGGGCCTGGGGGGGGCAAAAACCACTAAAATTAGTGCAATCTTTAAAAATATTCTTCTTTACTCCTGGACATCAAGCAGTCAAACTGTTGGTATAATTGTAATCAGCATTGAATCCTCTGCCAAAATTGTGAAATTCATGGCCCCAGGCTGAGGGTCAGGGGTTCTAGTGCTAGGGCGGGGCTAAACAGGTTATATAGTGAAAATGCATTATTTCTTTGTAATTCTTCTTTTCTGCACCTGGGCATTAAATAACTAACCAAGTGCATAGTTAAGTTGAAAATGACCACCTTTTCCAAAATTGTGAATTTCATGGCCCCAGGTTGGAAGTGCTAGGGCGGGGCTTTTTGATTATATAGTGAAAATGCATAAATTCTTTGAAATTCTTCTTTTCTGTTATGGGCATCAAATAAACTAACCAAGTGTATAGTTATGTTGAATAACGATTAATTTCAAAATTGTGAATTTCATGGCATTATGGTTTTATAAGGGCCTATATAGATTATATAGTAAAAAATGAATTATTTTTCTTTTGAAATCTTCTTCTTTGCTCCTGAGTATTAAATAAACTAACCAAGTACATAGTTATGTTGAATAAGGCTACCTTTTTCAAAATTGTGAATTTCATGACCCCTGGGTTGGGGGTTCTGGTGCTAGGGCAGGGCTTTATTAATCATATAGTGAAAATGCATAAATTCTTTAAAACTCTTCTTTTCTGCACCTATGTATTTAACCAATGAACTATGTACATATTAATGAGGAGGAAATGCTCTTTGAGATTTTTTAATTTCAGGGTCCCTGGGTATAAAAATAAATGTGTTAGGATGGTCTAATGTTTATATAGTGAATATGTATGAATTCTTTGAAAATCTTTTCCTTTGTTGTTGGGTATAATGCCAATGATCTTAGTATATATTAATGACAAAAAAACCTGCTTCTTCCAAAAATGGTTAATTTCCTTGCCCCTGGGACAGAGGTAATTTGTGGTGGGGGGGGGGGTAACAGTCTGAAATAATATAATGCTTTGAAATCTGCACTTTGGTATTAATCAACAGCATTATGAAATAAAATTTTTAAAAATTTCCAAAATTTTCGTGACACAGTGGTTCCTGTGGGATGGGGAGCTCCACTGTGGACCCTCCCTAACACAAGAAGCCCTGACCCAGGGGCCCTGAAATTCACTAAAAGTGGAAATGCATTTTCTCTTTGTTACTCTGATCTACCTCTGGGTACATGTAACCAAAATAAGCATGCTGAGTGTATAATTATGATAAGCAATGGTACCTCTTTCAAAATTGTGAATTTCATGGCCTCTAGTTTAAAACATGAATCAAATTCAATTATTGGAAAGTTGTCGCATGATACTCAGGTGACCTATAAGGCCCATGGGCCTCTTGATTCTTTCATCTTATGCATAAATCTTTAAGTTGATTGTTCAAAATGTTCAAAATTAATATTTCATTTACAACTTTTAATTGCTCATTTTTGGTAAGTTTAAAAAAAACAATAACAAAATGCCTTAATATATTATATGACTGTCATATCAAAGATGTCTAAAATTTAGAATGTCAAACACCCCCATGCATTAATTGAAAGTAAATCCTTGTAGGCAGTTTGGCCAGTTTGACTACAGTCAGGGGTACGGCTCAGAGCAGCAGTACTCAGCTCCCCAGTCCAATATGTACACGGGCTCCATCATGACACCGGACATGAGTGCTACCTATGCCAGTCCCAGTAGTTCAGACAGCTATGAAGACGAGCCCCCTCTGTTGGAAGGTGAGTGGGTTTTTTTGCTCTCAGTATACATGTGGCTCCAACAGTTAGTGTTACATCTATCCGTAAGCTTATGTTTCAAACAATTAATTTCAAATTTTGATGAAATTCACATTATGGTTTTATAAGCCTTTTAATGGTGAAACCAGAAGGAAATGTTCCTTATCTGTCTCCCTGTCCATCTGTAAGTCAGTACTCTTAACCCACCTGGTTTTCCACACTTTTTAGATCGCTTTAGTTAAAATCTCAAGTGAGCTTTTCTCATCACGTTTTGTCATAGGGCTGGGAAAAAATATTGATATCTTGGTATATTGCAATACATTTCAATATGTTTTTGTAATATTTTTGTACTGGCAAGATGCTTAGATTTAGGAATTTTATCACTAAATATGAAAATAAATGTAACTAAGAAAGGTTTGTTATTAAGTCAAACAGTAGGATAGAAGCTGTTTATGGGTGTATTTCAAAGCATAACTTTGTTTTTAAAAGTATTGATATTAAAGACCAGCTTATTTCCTCATAATATTTTTCTAATTTTTAACTTTCTTTTGTAGAACTTGGAATTAACTTTGATCATATTACACAAAAGGTAAGTGTTTATATATGTTGTCATATTCTAGTTAGAAATCATAGAAATCAGGAAAGACAACTCTTGTATCCTTCTCCAACGTTCAGCTCTGAAGAGATGACTACTGCATGGGCTGGATATTTATCACAAAGTGTGTTATTTTGAAAATTATCTTGTACTTAAAAGTTACGTTTTCATTTTTAAGGTTTAAAAAATATTTGAATAAGTCCTAATTTTAATTCATCTCGCAGTTGATTTTACCAGTGGCATAATCATAACAAGTATATAAAACGGGTAAAAAAAATGAAATGATTAATTGGACCAATCTGATGGATTTTTTGAGGTGGCCAAGAGAGAGAGAGAGAGTGAGTGAGTTACTGATGCCACATAACTTTAAAATGTGTCTTGATAATAGTGTACAGTAAATATATTTTCATTTGATAAACTTTATTTTTGCATAATTTTGCAAGGTTGTCTGCTTGTGAAAATTTAATTTTAAATTTTTATCATAAAAGGTTATTAGTATAAGAAACAGAATTAAGTCTTACTCATAAATTAAAAAAAAAGACAATCTTGTTCAAATATTAATATTAAAGTTATTGTAAAACTTTGGTGATCCACAGTACTTTCCACCTGTTACTCCTGGGCTGTTGGAGTGTATGTAAGGTGTTGTATACATAATTGTATATATACAATTCATTTTTTGATAATCTTTTATTCTCCATATTTTTACTTCATTCAATGATCTGTATAGAGGATGTAAAAAATACATTTGAAAAGTGTATGGTGAAAAAAGTTATAGTGCGTCATTGCAATCATTAGTTGAAAATAGCTGATTTACAACCTGTGCAAGTTTCATAAATTCCCTGTAAAATCAAGTACTGTAGAAGTACTTTTTTTCCGTGTGGTATTATTTTAGTTGTACATTTTCCTTGGAAATTTGCAATCATTAATATTAATGTAAGGCATATAGTGACTTTACCAACTCTGCAAGTTTCATAAATTCTACGTCTAATATTTCATTAGGTGATGCAACAATTTTTATATTTAATTTGCCATAACTTTCTTTTATGAAAAGTAATAAGGTCTGGTATTTTGTAAACTTGTATAAGAGCAAAAGAAATGTAGGGATATATGTTGGGAGATTCTTAATTTTTACTGGGTATGGGAACCAACTCTGTGAATCCATTACAGTTCTGAGCACATAATGTTAGAGAGTAAAAATTCCCTGAATATGTCAAACTTTCAATTACATCACATTTGCTATTTTGCAAATTACACAAAATGATCAAACAATTTAATGTGCTTCAATGAGCTTCTCATGGAATCCTCGAAATGATAGAGAGGGTCTATATAATGCCTTCAGCATGTATTATCACTTTTTGTGGGATTTACTTTACCAACTCATTTTCCACATGCAGAGTTGATGATAAATGGATCTATTTGTCCCTTTTAAAATTACATTTACTGTAAAATCAATTTTCAACTAAGTTTAAATGCTCTACAGGTGCATTTCTAATAGGAGGTCTATTTATCATTCAGAGTGGGGATAGGCAAACTTTTTTCTACACTGAAGTATCTTATTTAATATTTTTTTTCCTTTAACAGTATCTGTAACCTAAGGGTGGAAAAAAGTAAAAAGAAACAGACTAGCAAAAAACAAGCAAAATTTATTATTTTGTTTGAAAATTGAGCATTCCTTGAAACTAATACATATAGCACAAATATAAATGAAACAATGATATTCACAGAATGTGTTGAAACAAATAAACAAAAGCTCCTTTTTTACACCATTCATATCTCATCTAGGCCATGTTAATAAGTGTAACCAAAAAAAGTGCTTATGGTTCTGATTACTTGATAAAAGCAGGCAAAACCTGCCCAGGAAAAAAATCTTTTGTCAAAATATTCCTATTTATCAGAAGTCATAGCACTACATACAATAAAACTAGGCATGCAATAAAAAGCACTGAGTTACCAGGTAATGCACAAAGTAAAAAAAAAAAACACAAAACCAAAAGCTTCTAAAAAAATTACCTTTGGAAAGATTGACAAGAACACTAATGTTTACAGATTGGTATGAGATGTTTGTATGAAGGTCACAGAAAACTGGCAAATGAAAATTGGTCAATCTATCAAATTCCTTAATAAAAACAAGACCACGGGCAGCATCAGGCTTGATATGTAAATATCCACCCAAATGTTTAAAGATAAAACACATCCCAGCGTAATTAACTTGAAGAGATGCCAACATGTAGTAATTTTTTTGTATTTCATTACACTTTATACAACTGCAAATGTTTTTGTAGAACAGAGCCAGGAATTTATGTACATAGTCATTCTCAACAAGTTTTTGACGACAAATATTCAAATGGAATGTATACATTTATAATGAAAAAGTCATCTCGATAGTACTTGTCAATGAAGATAAGAACAACCAGTGCAGATCCATCATAAAAATAAATTCTATAACATTTTCTCCATTGCACTATTTAGAAATCTTCTTAAGTAACATAGTAAAAGAATACTTTGGTATATTATGAACTACATTTTGGCAGGTGAAAGGGGCAGACAACTCTCTACACTGCTGTCCCATAGCTATCCACAGTTCCAGGTCTGGGTAGAGAGAGTTTAAGTTTTTGTTCTCCATAGTCACTTGTTTGAGAGTTTTGTGATGTAAGAGACATATTATCCCTGGAGTGGAATAATCGGGGTGGCTTTTTAGGAGGTAATGAGTTTAAGTAACCTGCTGAGACACTAGTCCTTTTGCTGGGCAGTGTGCCCGCTATGTGTCCGTGAGGTGGCAGAGAATATGGGCCTGTATGTGACAAGGTGCTACAGGGGGTATAAGATAAATAGGTATCATAAGAACTGTCAGAGTTCAGGTACCTAGAGTTCAGTGTGCTGGCTTTGGGCATGTTGTAGAAAGAGTGTGGAGTAGATTCAAACAGAGGGTCGTAAGAGTCACTCCTAATAGGGGAGAAATTCTCCAGTAAGGGAGAGGTGGACTCACAGTTAGAACTATCACTCTCCTTGGTTCTGTTTGTATTTGTACTTGAATAAAATTGGTCCTCATTTTCATTATACCCTGCCTTGAATGAAACATATGTATTTATGCCATTTTGTTCTTCCACCTCCTCTGTTTGTAAAGGTTCTTTCTCAATGGGGATCTCTTCGAGAGTCGTCTCAAGTTTGAGGTCACTTTTAGACTCCCTTATAGTAGATTCATTTAGAATTGTTGTCTTTAGATGTTCTTTAAAGGTCAAACTTCGCTCCTCCTTCCTCAGTCGTTTGCTACGTTTCACACGGACACAGACAAAAATAAGTAATCCAACAATGATACATGCAAAAATGAATCCACTGACTACTGATGCAATTATAATGATGGTCTTTTTGTCTAGACCATGGTCACTGCTCTGAGATTCAGATATAGCCAGGGGCTGGAGGGAAGAAATCTCAGTAGTGGTGGGTAAATTCTCTGGATCCACCCCTGGGATTAACAAAGAGTATGAGATGACTTTGGACCCCCTGGCATTTTCTAAATGACATTTGTAATCCCCAATGTCTGAATACTGAAAGTCTTTGATGCTTAGAGTACTTGTATAAGTTTCCTTCCCAGTAGTGAGAATGCTTACTCTTCCCTCAATGGGTTCTATTTGTTCTTCATTTTTGAACCACAAGGGCTGAATAAAAGGCTTGGAAAAATACTTGCAAAATAAATTGACATTTTCTCCAAGTTTAGTGTTTTTCTGATGTCCACTTGAATACATGACAATTTGGCACACAAAATAACTTTGGTTCAGTTGAGAAAAGAATTTTTCCTTTACCAGGGGAGGTCCCTGACACTTGGGCTCACCTTGGTTAAACTTCCATGATAAATTGAATTCTTTTTTACTTGTTGTCAGATAGGAGTAAAGCCAGCCAATCTTGCAGTCACAATACCAGGGATTATTGTACAATCGCCATGCTTTCATGCGGTGCGTCAGGTGCTGCACTACCCCCTCTGTTAGCGTACGCAGAGCGTTATTTTGTAGATCCATAACTTGTAGAAAGTTTAAGCCTTTAAAGGCATCGGGCGCAATATTTTCTATGTAATTTCCATCTAAATTAAGTTCTTTTAGAGAATGAAGTTTCACAAATGCGTTGTCGTTGATGCTTGAGATCATATTTCCACGTAAATTTAATAAATGTAAAGATGGTAAATCACTAAATGCTCCGGATGGCACTGTTTTGAGTTTATTTCTTGATAAATTCAAGTATTTAAGTCTCCTGAGTAGCTGAAAAGCATTATCTTTCACTTCAGTTATGGAATTGTTCTCTAAATTCAGGGAGTAAAGTTGATCATATTTGACAAATGCATTCTCTTCAATAATTCCGAGATTATTGTGTTGTAAATCTAAGCTGGCAATATTATGCTGTAAGTCATAAGGAATGAACTTTAACCCCCGAGCGCTGCAGTTGGCCATCATGTCTGCTCCGTAGGTAACCTCACAATTGTGTGCCATATTTAAGTTGACATTCATACCGAGAATGAACAAGACTTTTAGGAAAAGAATCCTTTTGTTTTGGAAACTCCTGGCCATCTTGTTTTTTTGGTGGTTTGTAATCCAATGTTATTAGTCAAAAACAAAGCAGCATTATTCAACACGGATTGCCAGAAAAACTCGTAATTATCCAGAAAGAACTTCTTTAACAAGCTCCTTGCTGTGACGAGTTCCCACACCCTATCCGATTTTCTTACGGTACATTATTTTGCACTTGCTGTTGATTCTCTCATCCAATCTTGTGAAGCATGATCAAATTCATGTGTAAATGAAATCACAAAAAATAGCTGTTGATAGATGCTGCTGTACACAGTAACAGATGCTAATTCCATTCACAACAGCACACTGGTGGACCGACACAATTAGCCTGAAATGAGTCAACTTAATTCGGATTCCAGTAAAATATGTCTTGTCTCTGCCTTCACATGGTCCAAGGGAGAATTGATCTGCAGATTATTTTGAATTCATCCAGTGATA